ATACACACACACACACACACACACACACACACACACACACACACACACACACACACACACACACTGAGCTCTGCCTAGAAAGCTGAGTGATAAAGCCCTGAGCTTTTCCAACTACAACATGGTCCATGAGCTAACTGATCACCCACCACCCCCGCAGCATCCCTAAACATGGGCTCTCCTACTGTGGGATGCATAACCACAATATCAGTAATAACAACTAAGGCTAGAGCTGTGTGACCTTCAATAAATTATTTAACCTCTCTCTGTCTCTAAATTTCCTCATTGATAAAATGGGGACAATAGTGGTACCTCCCTGGTGGGACAGTTAGAGGACTCGGTGAGTTAACACACATCAAGGACTGTGCCTAGCACATACCAGGAACTCCACAGCGTTCAGGTCGTCATCCAGCACTGCTCACGCTCGTCACTGTGCTGTGCCCTTAGTGTACACCATCTCACTTAATCTGCATCAAGACCCTACAGGATGGGAAATTTCATCATCACTTCCACTTTACAGATGAGAAAACTGAGGCTCAGAGGTTGACCTGCCCAAAGTGTCCCAGCCAGTAGGCAGCAAAGCTAGGATTTGAACCCAGGCTTCGGATTCCAGTGCCTGTGTTCTTCTCACCTTCATTCCACCGTGTCCACTCTGTCTCCAGGCCCACCCCTCACCAGACTCCAAGCCACAGCCAGAGACCCTCACAGCCTCTGGGTGCACTGGGAGCCCCCCAGCCCTCAGCCTCAGGGCTATCTGATAGAGTGGGGCCCGGGTCCCCCCAGCCCCAGCAGCAGCAATAAGAGCTGGAAGATGGAATTTGACGAGAACATCACGGGGACCGTGCTGCAGGGTGAGATGGGCCTGAGAGATGGGGCAGCTGGGCTCTGATGGACAGGAGCAAAGGCAGCATCAACTGCCCTCGAGACAGAGTCCCCAGCCTTGCTTGGGCCCTCCTCCTTCTCACCTCACATCCTCACATCCAGAAGTTCTTCCTGCAGTCCAACCTGGTCCCCTCTCTACAGTCCTGACCCGCCACCCTGCTAGCGCTCTCCTGCACTTTTTCTCCCTAACCCCATCAAATGATCTAAGGAAGGGAGTGTGACATTGAGCCCTGAGGCCAGGTTAGCCATGGCAACAGTCCGAGGTTAGATCCTGGTCCTCAGCAGAGGTCAGCCCCAACCAGAGCGCCTGCCCCCATTTTCTCTCTACAGAGAACATCAGGCCCTTTCAGCTCTATGAGATCACTGTGACGCCCCTATACCAAGGCACCGGGGGACCCTCCAAGCAAATCTACGCCTACTCCCAAGAGATGGGTTTGTCAGCCATCAGGCCCCTCCCCCAAGCCCCCTCCTCTCTCCTCCAGGGCCTGCGTGGGCCCCAGCAATCACAAATATGAGGGAACATGTCCTGCCTCGCCCGACTCCTGGTCCTGGAGAGGGTCACTCTCAGTCCTAAGATGACCCTTGGTTTACACCAGACCCCTGAAATCAGGTGGTGGGCTAATAGAAAGTGGGACTGAATTGGCAGATTTCAGAGATGAAGTCTCATAAAATTGATCAATGGCCCTGACAGAAATCAGGTGCCACATCTGATAGATTCAGAGGGTGAGCAGCAGAGATCAGACAGTGAGTCAGACAAAAGCAGACCTGGCAGAAGTCGGGGTCGGGGAGTAGGTTTAAAGTCAAACAGAACTGGGCTCAAGTCCTGGCTCTGCTCCCTATTAGCAGTACATGTAATTGATAAAATCCCTGCAAAGCCAGGCGCAGTGGCACACACCTGTAATCCCAGCAACTCAGGAGGCTGAAGCAGGAGGATCCCAAGTTCCAAGTCAGCCTGGGCAATTTAGTGAGACCCTGTCTCAAAATAAAAATTAAAAAGGACTGGGGGTATAGCTCAGTGGTAGAGCACCCCTGGGCTCATCAGTACTAGGGGTGAGGGGAGGAGGATGTCCCCTTGGACTCTCTTTTCTCAGCCATCCACAGTATGTCCCAGTTCCTGGGTTCAGGGACCCACAGAAGTCCAATCAGTTTCTTTGCCCTGAACCCTTCCCCTGTACTCTCTTCCCACAGCCCCCTCCCGTGCCCCAAGGCTCCATCTAAAGCACATTGGCAAGACCTGGGCACAGCTGGAGTGGGTACCTGAGCCCCCTGAGCTGGGGAAGAGCCCACTCACCCACTACACCATCTTCTGGACCAATCTCCAGGACCAGTCCTCCTGTGAGTCTATCCTCAGCCTCCCACAGTCCCAGAAGGCCCAGGAGGGGGTGCTTAGCAGTCACAGAGGCAGCCTCAGCACCCCAGCCTAAGCTGGCATGTGCTCCATCCCAGCCACCATCCTGAATGCCTCCTCCCGTGGCTTTGTCCTCCATGACCTGAAACCCGCAAGTTTGTACCACGTCCACCTCATGGCTGCCAGCCAGGCTGGGACCACCAACAGTACAGGCCTCACCCTGATGACCTTGGCCTTAGGTAAGGGGAAAGGGGGACTGGGCAGTGGAAGGGTGCCCCACTCAAAGGATCCTGATTTTGAAGTAGACCTGGTCCTGCCTGGGGACCTGAGCCTGAGGAAGGAACCCACACTTCCTCACATGTCCTCACCTCTCTGGCTTTCCCCTCTCTCCAGGGGAGTCAGAGCTGTACATCTTCCTAGGCCTGTCTGGCCTCCTGGTTTTGTCCATCTGCCTCTGTAGAACTGCCTGGGTCTACTGCAGCCCCAGGTGAGTCCTCTGGGAGGAGTGACACCCAGCTACTCCTACCCACAGGGCACTGCAGGCCAGGGTGGGTCAGTCTAAGGCCCAGCCTGCCTAGACCTTGGGGCCCATGTCTGGGAAGCCTGACTTCCACCTCCTCCTCTCGGCACTGAGGGGCAGCTGCTGGGGTGAGCGGGACAAAGGATGGAAGGCTGGGAAGGCATGCCTGACCCCGCCTTTACATGCCCCCCTTCTCCAGCAGGAAGAATCCCCTCTGGCCAAGCGTGCCAGACCCAGCCCACAGCAGCCTGGGCTCCTGGGTGCCCACCATCATGGCAGAGGTGAGGAACTGGAGGAGAGGGGACAGGGGCTGGAGATGTGGGCCCAGGCTCAATCTCAGGAAAGGGATTCCTTCCCGAGGATGAGCACACAGGCCTCCCCGTCACTTGAAACAAGATTCCTTCCCTGTGGAGTGAAGCCACCCTGAGTTTGAGTCCCAACTTGGCCCATTTCAAGGATTTGGCCAGTCACTTCACTGTGAGATGAGAATACCCACAGTGCTGAGTCTGAGCAGCACACTGCTGCTCCTGTCAGACAGGTGTCAGGAATGTACAGGTGCCTTGCAAATATGATCC